GGCGAAGGCCGTGTGTGCCCACGGGCGGGCGGGCCGCAGCCAGACGGTGAAGACCGCATTTCCCGGCAGCCCAAGGGCCCAGCTGGAAGCAGGAGCATCTCATTCTGCAGAAGCGCACGCCCGCGTCCCAGCACCCCTCAGAGCGTGGGTGGGTTCCAGCTCTGGCGGTGTTGGGGTGACAGGCCAGCTCCTGCACACTGCAGGCACCTCCGAGGCCAGGCTGGGTCCCAGCCCCCAACCCAGGGGCAACTTGGTGGGTCCTTGTCAGTGCAGTCACGGCAGTTTGAGACTGAGGCCCCCAGGGGTCCCCAGGGCTACGAGGACCCCGGCTCTGAGCTCGCCACCACAGGACCTCAGAAATCACTCAGGGCCCGAGAAGACTCAACCGCCGGCCCCGTCTCCAGGCTGCATGCAGGTTGGTGAGGAGAAAACGGGCCCAGGGAGACGCTCGGCCGAAGCGGGCGTGAGCAGGGCAAGGTGGCCCGATGTCCCCAGGGAGCTCGGCTTGCGGGGAGGGGAGGTGACCTGGCCGGGGCCTGCGCCCCAGCCTCACACCTGATCTCTTACAGGCACGTGGCACCGGGTGAAGACGGGGCTGGGGGCTTGGGTTGGTGGGTGGCGATCCCGGGGCCTGGCTTCAAGCCATGGCTCATACCCGCTTCATCTACGGAGCAGCCCCCACCTCAGCCCTCTGAGCTGCAGGGGTGGGTGGGAGACCCCAAGACCCCTTCCGGCGGGCGTGTGGCAGCCACAGCCTCTCCGTACATACACCAGGGTGGCCGGCACAGCCACCCAGCGGTAGTCTCTGAGAGTGAAGTGACCCACTGGCCACAACCACATGGCAAGGTCGCCCAAGGTCATGTGGGATGCCCAAGGGCAAATGGCGACACGCCCAGGATACACTCTGGGTGGTCAGGGCAAGGAGGAGCCCAGCGGAGCTTGTCCTGACACCTGCCTCGGCCGTCCCCAAGTGGTCAAAGGGTCCGTGCACAGTGTCCTTATAAATAGTCCTCCCCAACCCACATGGGCTGGGGACACTGGCCCTGCTTCCAGGCCAGGCCCCAGGGGACACCGCCACTCCCGGCCTTGGTCTGCACCCCACCAAACACAGTGAGGCCGCAGGGTCGTGCCTCTGCGGGGTGAGTGGATCCTGGCAGGCCGGGTGCAGGGCCCACCCGGTTTTGAGCTTCCTTCTGCACTGGGCTTCTGAGCGGTGCGGGGCCGGGGGGACACGGGACGGCAGGCAGGGACTGAGGAGAGCACGGAGCCATGCCCGGAGCCGCGGGGACAGGCCCCAACTCGCGCTGTCGTGCGGCTCGGCCCCACAGGCGACCCCGCAGACGGCACTGAACTGCTCATTCGCGTCAGCGGTGACTGCCGCCGGGGGCAAGCCGGGGCCAGCGGGCTCAGGGGACACAGGCCCGCCCGCCGTGCTGCAGGGTGGCCAGGAAGCAGACGGGGACCGAGCACCGGGGACCGAGCCCCGCTGTACCGCTGTACCGCCTCCGTCCTTGGAGGGGACCCTGCGGGCGGGGCCTGAGCACCTGCCACAGGCTGCTGCCCACGGCCCGCACACGGGGACCGTGTGGGAAATGCCTGGCACGCGGAGGCGTGGCCGACTAGGGGAACAGCTTTCCGGGGGCTGCCGCCCAGGACCCCAAGGACCTGGGAAGCAAGCACCTAAGGGCTGCAGCTGGAGGGGCCGGTCCCAACATCGAGCCTCAGTCTCCACCACACACCCCGCTGAGCAGCAGTGACGTCGCTACGGTGTAGGCAGGGTGCTGACGTGGACCGGGTCCCGCGCTGGTGCAAGACGAGGCCTTTCTGCTCCGTCCACCTTGGGTCTCCGGCTCAGGCTCCGAGCGCCTGGGCTGAAAGCCTGGCCCCCCACCCCGCTCCTGCTGCCCCCGGGACGGCCCCTCAGTCCTGTGCAACTCCGTGACGGGGAGACGTGCACACGTCAGCACTGCTACAGCACAGCCCGCCCCGGGGAAGGGCAGCAGGTCAAAGGTCAGGGCCCTGGGTCCTCCTCAAGGGAACAGGCGAGGCGTCCTCCCCTGACCTTGAGCACCTGGCTCTCCCACGGGATGAGCCCCCTTCGTGGGGGGCACGTCTGACTACTCAGTGCACATGAAGGCCTTCGCCCCGGGCTCAGCCACCCCAGACCAAAGGGCCAGCGCCCCGGCCTCTTCAGGAAGGCCGAGGACCCAGGAGACAGGGACCCCTTAGACACAGCTGCCTCCCAGGACAACTTCCTGTCCCCCCCCCAGAGAACTCAGGGTCCCTCCAAGACAGTTGAGGACACACCGTAGGCACAGCTGTCTCAGAACAGGGTGGGAGGGACCCGAGGCCAAGATGTGGGTCACAGCGTGACATGTCCCTGGGTCCACACGGGGCTTTGTGTGCCAGACTGGAAAGCAGAGGCCAAGAGGCCTGTCACCCAGAGGTGGTCTGAGCGCACCCTGGGCCGGCCAGCTGGAGGGTGAGACCGCAGGACGCTGGCCGGCCACGTGGGCACAGTGCCCTCCAGCCAGGCCCACCCACTTCAGACCGGAGCCCAAGGCCTGGACAGAGGGGGAAGAGGAGGAGGCCGCGCCGCCTGGAATCCCAACCACTCCTGGAACCCCCAACACGAGGCGAGGGCAGCTGTGACCAGGGGACCGCAGATGCACAGGGTGGAGGCCTCCACCTCAGAGCTTTGTTCCTCTGCAACGTGGGGCCAGGACTACAAAAATGGGGACAGGCTGGGGCAGGTGCCACGTGCTTCTGCACGAGGACGCAGACGGCCCCGCCCGGGACCCCTGCCAGGGCTCCAGGACCCGAGGTGCCCCCACCTGCTCTGGCATGGCATCACAAACCTCGTGCTCCCTGAGCTGCAGCTCCCACTGACGCGTACCAAGGCCCAGGGGCCCATGGCTTGAAGGCGCAGGGGTCATGAGGACGGAGAGCCAGCCCTGAGCGAAGGCTGCCTCTCGGCTGCACCCAGGTAGCCCAGGGCGACGGGGTGGGAAGGGGCCTGGGAAGAGCAGGACGCAGGGCAGAGCCCTGGCCCAGACCCGCCCCCAGCTTCACGGGCTGCAGCCTCTCAGAGCTGGGGGTCCCCGCTCGGGGCAGGATGCACTGGGTACCCCTGTGGCCCCAGCTCTGTCCAGCCGTGCAGGCCCTCAGCTGGGCGATGGAGGAAGGCAGCCAGCTGTCCGGGTCCCCCCCCGGCCTCCCTCCAGCAGCCCCGCGGGCGCCTGGCCCCGCTGGCAGCACGTGCTCGGCCCCGAAGGCCGGCCAGGCTTCTCTGCTCTGCCACTTTAAGGGGCAGACCATGCGCCAGCCGGTTTCACGGGAAGGAAAATGAAGCGGAATTCTCGGCACCTCGCAGAGGCATAAAAACATAAACTACATCTATACACCCGACATCAGACACATATTCACGGCAGTGTCACGGACGGCACAGCCCACCGTGCCCAGCATGGGGCCCGGGGCCCGGGGCAGGGCCTCGGTGGCCCCTCACACGGAGCCGTGGTCCACCACGTTCCACTGCGAGGGTCAGACGAGAACCAGGGGACATGGCCGCCTGGCCCAGCCCCACGACGCCCTGAGGCGCCATGCTGCGGCCGAAACCGCACGGTGAGGGTGCCTCCCGAAGGAGCCCTTCATAAAATCTCCACCGAACACGGGACACGGGCCGCTCGCCGGCGCTCCAGACCAACGAGGCGCCCGACAGTCACACAAGCCTCGTGGCTTTGCAGACGAGGACAGCGAGCTGTGGGCGACACAGGACGCACCCTTCACGGGCTTGCGTGCAAGGACGGTGAGGTCGGCCGCTTCTGGACTGGCACCGTCACCCACGTGGCAGCTCGGACAGGTGTGTGGCCTCCATCTTGGCTCGGCCCCGCACACTGGCAGGTGGCTTCTCCGACCCGGTCCGTTTCCGACACCCCCGGGCCGCGGCGTGGCTTTCTCACGTTCGAGTCCCCAGGACAGTCAGTCCCAGGGGCACTGCTGGCCCAGAAGGCTGTCACTTCCCAGTCATCACCCAGGAAACCCCGGCCACCGTGCCACAGGCTGTGACCGGAGACAGAACTCGGCTAGGCCACTGGAAAGACAGGGCGTGCTCCATGCGTGTGGGTTTGGTTGGTAGGTTTTTGTTTGTTTCCTTTCAGTTCAAAAAAAAAAAAAAAAACCCAGCAGGCTCTCAGGTATACAGAACTGGTCATATTAGATAAAAACACAAACTTCACCTTTACAAAACGAAAACGAAACACGCACACACATTGCTGTCGAGTACATGTAAAGTTTAACACCTCACCGAAGACAAAGCATTTCGGTTCTGCCCGAACACCGGCGGCAGCAGGAGCCACCTCGCCGGCCCCCGACGGCCACGGCAGACGGCAGCAGCTCTGGGGGCCGGGGGCCGGGGACGGCATTGATTGGTTCTCGCATAGTTCTCGAAATGGCTTAAATTAAAAAGTAACGAAAGATGGGTCGAGAGAGAAACACGTCGAGCCGGAAGCAGTTAGGAACTGATGCGGAGGTGGGTTTATGACGTTTATTTTAATACATCCCATTCGTTCGCATCCCGCCAGGAAGAATACCGTCCCACTGTCCTGTCACGCAGCCTGGTGTTATTGGTGTAAATGTCATCCAAGAGATAATTAAAAA